GTTCTTTTTATATTATTCTTTATTTCATTTACCTCAAATTCTATTTTAATGTGAAAATATCATTATGAAATGTAATAAAGAAGAATATTATGTTAATTCAAATTTATAATGTTAGTTATGAATAACAATGATTATATAAATATGAATATCAATCTTATTGTTATTAATGAGTAAATATGTTATATTTCATTTATCACATTGATGAGATATCATAATGATATGTTAACAAATGTTATTATTTATTTATTTAAATGATATATTTATTGATATGAAAATTAAATTATATTACATATGATTATCAATGATGAATGATGATAATATACAATGTAAATTATTTATATTATCATATCAAACAAGAGTTAAATGATGAAACAAATAAAAAGATAATAAATAAGAAGTATCAATGAAATGATGATATGATAATAACAAATTGAATAATTTAAACATCAACACAATAATACAGAATGAAGAATGACTATTTAATATGTATTATAAATTAATATTTATAAATAATAATAATGAATTTAATGTTCATCTTCAACTTTCATTCATGATAATAATTCATTAATTTTATCATTAATCATTATATTTATTTTCTTATTATTTTCTTTATTCTTTCTTTTATCATTTTCTTTTTATATTTATTTTATTTCAATTTCATCAACAGACGTATTCATTTAATACAGAAATTGAAGTAGAATTATATAACTAATAATTTACAAATATGTTATTCTCATATTTAATCACAAATATTTTCATCTAATAATATTTTCTACTATTTTTTACGTTTTAAACAATTAACAAGAATTAATTTGCAACATGATAATTCATTTCAATGAACTATCAAACATAAACACCATGTTTTAATCAAACAATGAATACATTCATTACATTTAGACAACAATTAAGAAATAATTAACAACATCACAAATCAATATAATAATATAATGATAAATACGAATGAAATACATAATTTCATGACCGTTAAAATACTATCCACTTTGTAAAATACAAGATAACAATAGTAAAACACATTCTATTATATTGTATTTGTCATTAAAAAATAACAGAATGAGAAATATGACAATATCAATATTATCATATTAGATAATTAGAAAATATATATGAAATAATCAATACAAGAAATCAACATATGAAACAATGTTCTAATACAATGACATCAATATGATATTGAATAAACAAATAATATCATAAATTGATTAATAATATCATAAAATATCAAATATATATGTAATAAATAAAAAGAATAATACTAATCTATTATTTTATATGAATAATGTTGCAGATTATAATATTAATATAATATATTTGAATAAAAGAAATAAATATAAAGAAATGAAGAATATGATAATTAAAATAGAGAAATTAAAAAGATATCAAAATAAAAACAGCAATAATTTCAATAAACTAAATAATAAATGAAGAAAGTATTAAATTAATTAAACAATTAAAATTGAAATTAACATCATAAAAGAAATTAAAAACATTGTAATTAAAAACATGATGGATATTATTGAATACTGTTTCTACAACAACCAAATGTTGTTGAATTATATGATGAAGACTCATTGATAAGATTAATTTCAACTGAATAACAATAATAAATACAAATTCTATTAATATTTAATTAATTTTTATAAAATTATCACTCATGTTTAATCATTTTTATTTATTTTTGAATGAGATAATATCATATCCATATAT